GTATATCGAAGTTGATTACTTATCAATAAAATGTTGTATGGTAGGCATGTAAAAACATATGAGTATCACGAAGTAGTCATCAATTAAGTATTTGTATGTTTTTGGCTGAAAGGAAATTTCCAGGGCCGTAAAATATTTAATAAAAAGAAAAAAAAATAGGCGAAATAATTATACATTATTAAGTTAGTTGGGTAGACTGCTACATGGCTAACGCGTACATTCGACATCGAGTCGGGACATAGACAGTTTTAAAGTGAACTTAAATCTATGTTAGTTGAGACGTAAACTAATGGAAGGGTCTCAAGTGAGGACAGAAATAATAATATTACAAGTGTAGGCACAAGATGAACACTTAGTAGTATCAAAAAGCTAGTGCTTTTTGATTTGATTTAGTTGTGAAAATCGTTAGTTATTACTACAGTATATCGAAGTTGATTACTTATCACATAAAATGTTGTATCAATAAAATGTTGTATGGTAAAATATACTTTAATGTTATATATGGATAGTTCACAAATACATGTAAAAACATATGAGTATCACGAAGTAGTCATCAATTAAGTATTTGTATGTTAATCTTGAGATATAACTATAATGTTGTCATGTTAAATTGCACAATATAATAAAATGATTAGGCTACACAAAGCGAAATGTTTCTATAACTATATATATAAATATATCTTCTATATATATATAGATCTTATTGCTACCAATATATCATGTCAGGTTGACCTCCACGCGGTTCACTCTGGAAACCACCGTGATAAATTCTTACTCACTTTGTCACGATGGGCTAACTGACCTGACCTCATGCTCATCTTATCCTCCACTGGTGCCCCGCCAGCGTTAACCGTTAGCACATGCGGCTGAACCGTTCCATTATCATCCATAAAAAAAAATGTCGCGGTAGTACCGATACACTACCCTTCGGCCAGTAGTCCTTCATGAAGGTGAGCTGCATGTTAGACCAGAGAGGCTATAAATCAATAAATTACTTACCGAAAATAATAACTTTTTTTTTAATAAATGTTTCCACCTCACTATTGACTACACCTCACCACTGACTGCTACTCATAACGCCGTGACTACATATATACTATATGTTATATATCAATTGATATATATTATAATGTACTATCTCTTGATTAACCGATTACATAAAAATAGAAACGATTTAAAACATAATTGTAATAATCTAACCATCTTATATCACTACATAGTATAAAACAAAGTCGCTGTCGCTGTCTGTCCGTCCCTATGTATCCTTAAATCTTTAAAACTACGCAACGGATTTTGACGCGGCTTTTTTAATAGATAAAGTGATTATATAGGAAGGTTTATATATATAATACATGTACATCCGCGCGTAACTGAGGCGAGTAGCTACTCTTAAAATAGAATAGAAAATTATTTATTCAAAACTTATATTGAAGCACTTTTGAATAGTCATAACATTATTTTTCACAATTAACTAAACTAAAGTAAACTAAAGTAAACTAAAGTAAACTAAAGTAAACTAAAGTGAACTAAAGTAAACTATTAACAAGTAAACAATAATAATAATAATAATCCTGGTCAATTCAGACAACGCCATCTAGAGCCAATGTTATCAAAGCTTGTGTTACGAGTACTAGACAATTGAAATTAATACATGGATAGTTTTTTTTTGTAAATACATACATATTATACATAGAAAACATCCAGACCGATACAAACAATCATAGCCCTCAATAGAAATGTTTGTACCGTGAGAATCGAACCCGCGACCGTCAAAGTAAAGCAGTGTCGGTGTGCAATAGTGTGTGATATGTTTATGGCGCCGGCACACCAGTGGAGGAGTCTACTGGTGTCAACTACAACAATTAAATCGAGCAAACACACGAGTCATAGCTAATATTATTTATCTCTATTTATCTATATTTCCGTTTATACAGGATATAGTCATCAATAACCAAGATAATTATTTAATAAGATAATCTTTAACTAAATTAATTGACGAATATATTGATTATTATCACATATTAATATATATATATATATAAATTAATCCCTATTTCTCTTGGTTACAGCATCACGCGTGAACGGCTTTACCAATTTTGGTAATTCTTTTTTTTGCGTTTATTTTTCTCAGAAGGTTGTTACAAAAGAAAAAAATAAGAGATTGGAAAGTAAGCGGTAGAATAAAAATGTGACTATTCAAAAGTGCCTATATTAAGTTTATTTGAATAAAGATTATATTTCTATTTCTAGTTAATATTGTCTTTAAGTTTGGCGCCCTCGGTGGTCTAGTGGTTTAGAACACCGCTTTACTTCCGATGGTCGGTTCGATTCCTCGCACGGTGCATTTGTATTCATGAGTAGGTATGATTGTTTGTATTGGTCTGGGTGTTTTCTATGTATATTATGTATGTATTTACAAAATAAATAGTATTTATATCAGTTGTCTAATACCCATAACACAAGTTCGGCTTACTGAGGGACTAGATGGTGCTGTGTTAATTGTCCAGGGTATTTCTTTTTTATACTATAATGTTGATACCCCAGCGTTGCTCTCAGATTAAAGTCGTATCCGTCAGGCAGGAGTTGGCCTTCAGCCGCTCCATAAGTCCTTCCTTAGGTTTGGAGTGCCTGCACTCGCCCCGTATCGTCCGATGAAGCTGTTAAGCCCAGCTGCGGCCAACAGCATTAGAGTAGTCCGATAAAAGAAATCACCAAAGCAAAGTCAGGAATCTTATCTAGTGCTAGCTGTGCCCGCGATTTTCACTGATTGCTTCGCTTCTATTGGTCGTAGCGTAATGTTATATAGCTTAAAGCCTTCCTCGACAAATGGACTAGCCAGCACGAAAATAATTTTTCAATTCTAACCAGTAAATCCTGAAATTAGCGCATTCAAACAAACAAACTCTTCAGCTTTATAATATTACTAGCTACCCACCCTTATTATTGTACATATATTATACATATAAATATAAACATATAAACCTTCCTCTTGAATCACTCTATCTATTTAAAATAATGCTACAATATCCGTTGCGTAGTTTTAAAGATTTAAGCATACATAGGGACAGACAGCGACAGGTACCTTGTTTTTTTATTCTATGTAATGAAGTACAGATAATGTACCTAGTGATTTTCATTTCCGTTCGTACAGGATATTGACATCTGCTAATTAGATAATATATTGGAGTAAATCAGTTGTTTGATAACATGATTATCACTGATTATAAAGGTGATAACTGTTATACTTATTGTTTGTGTTTTTTTATCATAATAACAGGTTTCCTTTACTATAAGTTTGAAGATGATCGGCCTAAAAAACATAATTCTTGGAGTAAACACCAGTCTACGTAAATGGCTTATGCTGGCGATAAGGAATTGATACTCATATCATAGAACTTAAGTGGTCTCTGGCGGGTAGTCCGATGGTGAAATTCAGGAGTCCGAACAATTCTTCAGAACACTCACCGTGATATATAAATATAACAATAATAATAATAATCATCTGAGGACAATTCACACAGCGCCATCCAGACTCAAGTTAAGCTAGCTAAAGCTTGTGTTATGGGTACTAGATTACTGATATAAACACATAGATATTTTTTTTCGTAAATACATACATAATATACATAGAAAACACCCAGACCGATACAAACAATCATATTCATCAATACAAATGTTTGTGTCATGCGAGGAATCGAACCCGCGACCATCGGACCGTAAAGCGGTTTGCTAGACCGCTAGACCACCGAGATTGTCGATTATATTATGAATCTTTTATACGGTATGCTTTATATTGGCAACACTATTATCTATGACTGGTCGTAATCTGTGTCTATGACACGTTTTTTTCTGCACGCTCTCGGCCTGTCATGACATCGGTTCATTTGTTTGCTATATTGTATTTGACTAATTACAGTAAAATATTAATACCAGGCACTTGTAAACCTATAATAAGTATTTCATATTGTATTGTGGCAATATATTTAGTGAAATCAGTCTGGTTGTTTTACTACCAACTCCCACCTGCTGCTGCGCTGCGTTGCCACGCTGTGAGAATCACTCAGCTGAGAATATCTATATGCGCTAGATATGCAATGTCTCGCCGCAAAGGCAATGGGTCGAGTTTGTCACAAAAACTTCAATTATCTATGATTCTGGCTGTTTTATACTAGTTTTAAATAGCTAAAGACAATTATTTTCATGCCACGTAGGTGGCAAACTAGCATACGGTCTATCTGATGATAAACGGTTACCGTAGTCTATGGATGCCTGAAACGCTGGGGGCGTGATGCGCGCGTTACTGACCCTTAAGAAACCTTAATATACCCTTCTTGAAAAACCCCATGCTGTAGTCTCGTGAGAAAACCTCGGCTCACAATCTAAGTGTACACGGGAGGAAGCTCTCCTCCTCTCGTGGAAGGAGACTTCTCTCTCACTTCTCTCTCGAAGAAACCTCTGAAACCGCACTGGTAGAGATCACTTAGGTTCTAGCGTATGGGGATGAATTCCCTGTCGATGGCCAGCCGAGCGATGGTAAAAGGTAGCAATGGGCATCATGTCAAACAATTAGTTTCTATTCAAACAAAACAACAATTCGCGACGCCGATACGTCGCGAATTGTTGTTTTGTTTGCAAGTTTTTGTTAGCAGCTGCAGTCTTCGTCATTGATAGTTGCTCTCAATCTAGTATCCTAAAACCAAGAAAACTTAGATATATTTAATTTGCCGATTATTTATACGATAAATGAAAAAGTAATTGTGTGCTTACGCCTGCTCACTAAATACTTATAATTCGAGTTGGAGACAAATTGCTTATTAATTTGTATAGGCGTCAATTGCAAAATTGTATAATAAACAATGATTGACAAACATATTGCTGCGTCGGCACGCACGCAACGCCGAACACGGCAATGTACCTTGTTTGTTTATTTGTTTCTTGTACCATTGAAGGGCATAAATACCTTTATACCCTGTAATTTCACTGCCATATAAGGGATTAATATGGCAGTGACATTACAGGGTGTAAAGGTATTATTACGCTATCAATCATTTTTTAAAAAGCAAATCGTTTACGAATTAATAGTAATAATAAACACGATTAAATAGCGCCATCTAGTCCCAAGCTAAGCAGAGCTTGTGTTATGTATATGTGCCATTTTTTCCAAAAAATGTTTATTAGGGTCATTGACGTGCCATCACAAATAATTTTGACTTTCTGATTATTTGGAAAATAATAATAATAAATACTATCAAAACTCTCTATGAAATAAAGTAAACAAAAGAGGTACATTTTGGATTGTTTTCATTACACGCATAAATTAAATTACTGTAAAATTAGTGAGACTTCTGTTGCTGCAGGTTAGATGACATATAATTTATGTCAGACTTGTACGATGTTAATTTTAGCAAAATGCATGCTGAACTGGATTCATCTGTCAAACGGTTTCTAACCGAGTTTTTAATGTTATTCATCTCTGAAATTAATGACTCGCAGGCATAGGTAGGTGAAAATATTGTTAAAATAGCATGAGCCAGCTTCTTCAAACAGTTTTATGATCGACGACGTGCCCAAAGTATTGTGTCACGTGCCGTGAATGGCACGCATGCCACCGGCACAAGACCATTGAGGTCGTCAAAAGTTTTACATGTTAGAATAGAATAGAATAGAAATCATTTATTCAAATAAAATATTGTTTTTACAAAGGCAGTTGTTTTTTTAATCTACCGCTCATTCGAAAAACTGTCTCATCACAATATGTTCATAAAAATCTTGACTTATTTCCAAAAAACAGCAATATTCATAATATTAATACTAGATTTAAAGACAAACTTGCTGTCCCCAAGTATCGTTTAGAAAAAGTCAATAGGTCTTTTATGGGAATAGGTATAAAATTTTACAATAAGATGCCAAAAGATATATTGGAATTACCCTTAAATAAATTCAAAACATCTGTTAAATCATATTTCCTGAGCAAGAGCATATTACTCACTAAACGATTACTTGAATGACGAGCGTGCATGGCAATAGTTTTCATGTTCGGGATTTTTATTTAATGTTAGACATAGACACCTATATAAATACCTATGCATTGTAAATAAACTGGATTAAAAAAAAAAGTAATTCAATTGAGTTTCTTGCCAGTTCTTCTCAATTGGATCTATATACCGAACTGGACGGTAGGGAAAAAAATTATAATGTAAAACTTGACGTTCATAAGCGGCTAAAATGTCCTACATGAATAAATGATTTTTGAATTTGAGTGATAATTATTATTTTCTGGTTTTCTGACATAAAAGATAGTCCTACGTCCTTCGTGACAGAGATTAAGTGCGCAGCGGTTTTTATGTTGATTGTCGCATGCCTAATCCTTGTTGTTAATTAAATATAAATAAATCGATATTTATTTAAAAGAGCAACACACAAGTTTCTTGCTTATTCTTCTTGTGATGAATCTGTATTCCGAATAAGCGGTAGAATAAAAAAACTTGACTGTTCAAAAGTGCTTATATTAAGTTTATTTGAATAAAGATTATTTCTATTTCTAAGAATATGTCTTCATATTGAATGCATTAAGATCCCTTCAAATCCGAAAATGTCGCATAACAGACATACAAATTTTGTTATTTATAATATTAGTATGTATAATATATTTATCATTATTAAAATATTGCTTAGCACTTTATCATTGGATTAAATTGATAATTACTCTAATGTCATACAAATTCATTTAATTGATATGGAGTCAGTAAGAAGTTAATATTGTTAAGTTAACACGATATAAATATGATTTGGTAAGTGAAGATTTTAATAATAATATTAATAAACTGGACCGACGATCTGGTCAAGATCGCTGGAGGGCGTTGGATGCGAGCAGCGCAGGACCGATCGTCGTGGAGATCTTTGGGGGAGACCTATGTCCAGAAGTGGACGTCTTCCGGGCTGCGATGATGATGATGATGATGAATAATAAACTTACAAGGATTACATAAAAGAGCAACAAACAAGTTTCTCACTCGTTCTTCTTGTGATGAGACAGCTTTCCAAATGAGCGGTAGATTAAAAAATTAAAAATGTTATGACTATTCAAAAGTGCTTAAATGTAAGTTTATTTGAATAATTAGTAATTTCATTGTATATCTACCACAGCTTATTGAATATACACGATTAAAGCAATGAGTTAAATAAGATTTCCGATAATCATAAGTACCATACACGAAATAAAGGTAATATACAGTTGCCTAAAACAAGACTCGGTAAAACTTTTAAACAAGGCATTTATTTTATTTATTAATGTTATTTTATTTTATTATTTTAATTTGTAATTGGATTGAATTTATATAAATATTAATTTTTGTATGTTATGACTTGCCATATATGTAGGTAAAGAAGTTTTTTTATATTGATTAATAAATGAAATATGAAATAAATGAGTTGTATTCCAGTCTGTTGTAAAGTTGTTATAGAAGTTGGGAGTTGGTTAAATAGTTTAACAGATGCTCCACAGTCGCTTCCCTGCACCTCATTATCACTTGAATTCACTGTCTATTGAGGGACTTCAAAGTGGACCACAGGTCCTCGGGGCTATACCGTCATTACCATAAGGGCACACGAGGCCCGTAACCAGGGCCCCAGGTGCTTGTCTTCTCAGGTGGACTGAGAATTTTTCTCACACATTTATTCTCAAAAGTTTTTGTCGAGTACACTACACTTTTTTCACAAATCAGTAATGTTACTGTTCTTATATCTAATGAGGTTTTTTTTATTTTCCAAAAGGACCCCGTGTTCTTGTGTGCCCAAGGGCCCCAGTCTATTTTAAGACGGCTTTGCAGGGGGGTTCGTGTTCGGCTGTTCGAATAAAGTCCGAAGAGCAAGGTGGTTTGACTTCCATAACCTTTGACTTAATGTGGATGATTGGTCAGAGCTCTTGTCCAATAGAACGATTTACTCTATTTAACAAATTCTTCTTTCATAAGAGTGAAAGTAAAGTAGAGCCTTACATTGCGATTTTTTAAACATAAAATACATAGAAACCTATACAATCACTTATATTCATGAATACAAATGTTTGACGAGGAATCAAACCCGTGACCTTTGGAAGTGAGGCGGTATGCTATACCGCTAGACCATCGAGACCGTCAATTCTATGCACACGGAGTCTTGGTTATAAACAAGTTGTATTATAAACTTATCAAAACAGATTATTATCTCATCTTATCAGATAGGAATCATTGTTATCACGTCCTAGGCAAGTGTAATTATAATGAATACTAGCTGTACCCGCGACTTCATCCGCGTGGAATTTAGCTTTATTTTTCTAAAATAAAAGAATTTTATTAAAATAAAAGTAGCTTAAGTTACTCCTTATTACATCAGCTACCTGCCAATAAAAGTCCCGTCAAAATTGCTTAACTTAAGCTACTTTCATTTTTGTAAAATAAAATAATTTTACTAAAATAAAAGTACAGATTAGACACAAATAAAAGTCTCGTCAAAAAATATTATTTGTAAAATAAAATAATTTTACTAAAATAAAAGTTTATATTCATATCAGCATGCCAATAAATTCCCGTCAAAGAACGGTTATTTCAAAATAAAATAATTTTACTAAAATAAAAGTAGCCTAAGTTACTCCTTATTACATCAGCTACCTGCCAATAAAAGTCCCGTCAAAATTGGTGTAGCCATTTCAGAGATTAATCGGTACAAACAGACAGATAGACACAAAAATTGTAAAAACTATTATTTTGGTGTATGTACCGTATTTATATTCATATGCATGTAGTAAAGAACGGTTATTTCAATATTACAAACAGACACTCCAATTTTATTTATATGTATAGAATTTTTAGTAATACAAAGTAAGATTAATAATAATATAATTTATACATATATATATTATATATATATTAAACGCATTTCATTGTTCATTATATACATATATGTTACTTGTTATTATGTAATTATTTTAAATAACATCTATTCAAAACAGCAACACACGAGTTTCTTGCTCATTCTTCTTGTGATGAAACTGCGTTCCGAATGAGCGGTAGAATAAAAAATATGACTATTCAAAAGTGTTTGTAATGAGTTTATTTGAATAGAGATTATTTCTATTTCTAATATTAATAGTAGATAATTCCTTTCTCTTTTCCTTTCTGTGTCAGCTAGTTAATAAATAAATTGATTGATATAAGGAAAAATAAAAGAATTATGGATACTTGGAATAAATATAATGTCATTTAAACGATTACATAAAAAAAACACTTAGAAATATCAGCAATTATATCATGATAAAATCACTACTATGTTATCAGGGCGCTAGAAGAAGATATCAAATGATAGATAGATAGAGAGATAAAATAATTATTGTTATCATTAAACCAATTACAAAGAATATCTTTAGACAAAATACATATAAATAAAATTGGAGTGTCTGTTTGTAATATTGAAATAACCGTTTTTTACTACATGCATATGAATATATATACTTATTATAAATTTTGTAATGACATATTGTAAATTTAATATTGTAATGGGTGAAAACTGTGATCGATACAGCCTAGGCTGTAAGTAATATATTTGACGTAGTGGAGTAACCTGAAACAGTCATGCTCACTATAAAGTTCAAACTTGTGGCGGCGTGGTGGGCGAGGTCGATGTGCTCCCTCAAATATGGTTGAGTGCAATGATGGCTGGCTCATACGTCATACACGTGAACGGGTGCTGCTTGTGGGGACTGGTCTGTTCAGGTTGTGAACACTGATTAAATTTTTTGTTCTTTGCGATAGCATATGCTGGTGGTCACTCTATTCTCCCAAATTTGAATTTTAATGACTGTGTATTATTATAAACATGTTCCACTATTATTTGAAAAAATACGAGCTGAGTTTCTTGTCAGTTCTTCCCATCTCGATATCATTCCGAACTGACGGTAGATTTGACATATCATAAGAGTCTGTAATAGACCTAAATGAATAAAGATATTTTGAATTTGAATTTGAATTTGATACATGCACCAATATAACATTTTTTTACAGTTTTTGTCTGTCTGTCTGTTAGTTCCGCCAAATCTCTGAAAAGGCTGGACCGATTTTGACGGGACTTTTTTTGGCAGGTAGCTGATGTAATAAGGAGTAACTTAGGCTACTTTTATTTTAGAAAAATAATGTTGAATTCTACGCGTTAAAGTTGAAGTCTTGGGAACAGGTAGTATAAAATAAAATAGAAACAGAGAATTTTGTCAATTGGAGCTGCCTCCGCTGTTGCTGATATAAGTACAAGCTCAATGAGGTGCACCTACTCGTATACAACGTTGGTTTATAGGCTTTCTTTTTGATGAATGTTGATGTGAAAATGTGGGTTTATCAACCTCACAGTCACTACATTTGACAGCCTCGCTTTACGTCCGATGGTCGTGGGTTCGATTCCTCGCACGGTATTCATGTGTGTGATTGTATGTATCGATCTGGGTGTTTATATACATATTATCTACGTATTTACAATATATATTATATATATCTAGTACCCATAATACAATCAATACATCTGCTTACCGTGGGACTTTTTTATTATTCATATTTGTTTTTAATTACAGAAATGCAGATAATATTGTTATTGCTGTTTCTTGCTGCGGCAACCAGTCATTATTTACCTGATGGGTTGCCATCAGTTTCTCATCAGTCACAGCTGAGACCACACGAGGCGGATTGCACCAAATTCTACTATTACTATGACGGTATTGGAGTACTCAGAAATTGTCCAATTGGACTCTATTTTGATGCCAATAAACAGGTATATATTCAAATAATTATCTATATGTTAACTAGTTGACCCCGCGAGTACTGATCGGTATGTCAAATGTTTTTTAAAGTTTTGTTACGCAACAAATTTTTGAACGCACCCTGTTTGACAGCTGTCAGCCGTTTGTATGAGAAAATATAGTTATTGTTTTTACTATTTCACACGCAACTTCTTTAAAAGTTTCCACCACAGCGGTAGGGGTATCCCCACCCCCTCAACCCCTCGCACAGAAAACAAAACGTAGGTTAGGTTAGGTTAGAGTTTAATGATCACACAAAAAAAACTGGAGCGATGGTCACCGATGCAAAAAGCGACCTATACTAAAAATTTTCAAAAAATCATAAAAAAAAACTATGACGAATCGCAACCAAGAATGAATTTTCAAGGGGGGGATCCTTCCCCCAAAGGAGATTCCCCACAGTAAGGGTATCACCGCCCCTCCCAAAATCTATTAGATATAAAGCTAAAAGCGTCCTAACCTAAAAAATTTCAAAAATTCATAAAAAAAACTATGTGGAATTGCAACGCCCCCTTCAAGGGGGGAGTCCATCCCACCCACTCCCCTCCCCCCATCCCTCTCCCACCGTCGCAATCGATTGTAGATATTGTAAAGTCCTACCAATTGGTATTGGACTTTGTAAGGGCAAGTTTAGACTCAAAAAGTAATATTTTGTTTGAAAATACTCGTAATATTTCAGGCGTGCGTAGAAATCGGTATTGTATTGTATTGTATTGTATTCTTTAGACCTTTAAAAACGAGGATGCATCCATACAATATTTCAACCTCTTTTTTTCGCATTAAAAAGTAGCCTGTGTTTTCTTAGGGTCTAGACTATCTGTATACAAAGTTTAATTTAAATCGGTTCAGTAGTTTCGGCGTGAAAGCGAGACAGACAGATAGACAGAGCTATTTTCGTATTTATAATACTAATAAGGATCTTTCAATTTTTCTATTTAATGATTTCATCTCCAATTTATATGTTGCTATAATAAATTGTATGATGTTGTAATAATTTATACATGCTACCAGCATCGTCATTGTTGTATTGTTGTGTGATGTACCAAATATTATTCTATTTTTCTTGTATTTCAGACGTGTGTACAAATAGGTCCCAATGGTTGTACGTTAAGCCAAACTTCGACCACAGGACATACAAGCTCTACTGTCTACTCTACCACGAGCATTGCAGTCACAGACGACACAACCACCTCGAGCGAAACTACCAGCTTGAGCACTGAATCCACCACCCTCACGAGTACCGACCAGGGCAGCTCGGATACGACCGCTGCGACCACGCCCTCTATCATTTGTCCGGATGAGCCAGAAGTTACATTTATTGTGCCGCATCCAGAACTTTGTAACTCGTTCTATGTTTGCATAGACGGAGTGTCCACTCAAGAGTTCTGCCCAGATGGCTATGAGTATGACTTCGACCGATGGGTGAGTTAGGATATTTCACGTTCATTCTACTTAGTATGTGCTTTTATCACGGTTGTACAAAACGGCACAGATAATTATGATCACAGTGCTCTAGAAGTTTAGCATAATGGCTTATTTGTAATTATCGTGGGTTAGATTCCTCGCACGACAGAAATAATTGTATTCATGGGTATGGTATTCTCTACGTATACTATGTATGCATAAAAATATTTATATTTCAGTATTTCTATTAGTTGTCTAGTACAGATAACACAAGCTCCGCTTATCTTAGGATTAGATGGCGCTGTGTAAACTGTCCTAGGGTTATTAACACGTACCTACTGTCTTTTTTTTACCTTTGCGCCTTCCCGTATCCATATAACAACAATGAATGGACAAAAGAAACCTATCTACCAGGATCCTCATAGAAACATTGAATGATATACTATCTACGTATTCTTTGGTATTATATCGAAACATTTTGTCAATATCATTTCAGAGTTGTGTACGAATTGCTCCTGGAGGCTGCACTTATGGTCAAACGACAATTCCTATAGGGACGTCAGACATTACACAACCAGACTCTACCACTGCTACTACCGACGACGCGAGCGCCACGACTGAGTCTATACTAACGACGACTCCATCCATCTGTCCGCCGGGCACTTTCGGCAATGTCCCCCATCCGGAACTGTGCAACTCGTACTACCTCTGCACTGGGGGTATTCCGATACAAGTGTTTTGTCCGGATGGACAAGAATTTGATCCTGAGTTAAGGGTAAGTGTTGCGAATTATTGTCAATTTTATCTAATCTGGTGCATACATTGTCATTTATTAGGACGCATAGAAACACGATGGGTTGTTTTGTAAATGTAAATATTGGTATTGGACTTTGTAAGGGCAAGTTTAGACTTACAAAGTAATATTTTGTTTGAAAATACTCGTACTATTTCAGGTGTGCGTAGAAATCGGTCCTGGTGGGTGTACACTCAGTCAGACAACAACTACTGAGCAACCCGACTCTACAGATTACTCGACCCCTGGCGATACAGATCCCACCACTCGCACCACAGAGGAACTCCAAACATCCACACAGACGAGGACAACTGGAGACGATGTGTCAACGACCTCACCGGATGACGTCGTCACCGAGGAGACGACGATAGGCACTACTGATGTAGATCCAATAGAAAGTACCACCAGCAGCGGCCCTACTTACACAACTAGTGACACTACTATCACCGACGTACCAACGACGAGTCCACAGCCCACCGCTACTACCGACGACGCGAGCGCCACGACCGAGTCTATACTAACGACGACTCCATCCATCTGTCCGCCGGGCACTTTCGGCAATGTCCCCCATCCGGAACTGTGCAACTCGTACTACCTGTGCACGGGGGGTATTCCGATACAAGTGTTTTGTCCGGATGGACAAGAATTTGATCCTGAATTAAGGGTAAGTATTGCGAATTATTGTCAATTTTATGTAATCTGGTGCATACATTGTCATTTATTAGGACGCATAGAAACACGATGCGTGGTTTTGTAAGTGTAAATATTGGTATTGGACTTTGTAAGGGCAAGTTTAGACTTACAAAGTAATATTTTGTTTGAAAATACTCGTACTATTTCAGGTGTGCGTAGAAATCGGTCCTGGTGGGTGTACACTCAGTCAGACAACAACTACTGAGCAACCCGACTCTACAGATTACTCGACCCCTGGCGATACAGATCCCACCACTCGCACCACAGAGGAACTCCAAACATCCACACAGACGAGGACAACTGGAGACGATGTGTCAACGACCTCAACGGATGACGTCGTCACCGAGGAGACAACGGCAGGCACTACTGATGTAGATCTAATAGAAAGTACCACCAGCAGCGGCCCTACGTATACAACTAGTGACACTGCTATCACCGACGTACCAACGACGAGTCCACAGCCCACCGCTACTACCGACGACGCGAGCGCCACGACCGAGTCTATACTAACGACGACTCCATCCATCTGTCCGCCGGGCACTTTCGGCAATGTCCCCCATCCGGAACTGTGCAACTCGTACTACCTGTGCACGGGGGGTATTCCGATACAAGTGTTTTGTCCGGATGGACAAGAATTTGATCCTGAATTAAGGGTAAGTGTTGCGAATTATTGTCAATTTTATGTAATCTGGTGCATACATTGTCATTTATTAGGACGCATAGAAACACGATGCGTGGTTTTGTAAGTGTAAATATTGGTATTGGACTTTGTAAGGGCAAGTTTAGACTTACAAAGTAATATTTTGTTTGAAAATACTCGTACTATTTCAGGTGTGCGTAGAAATCGGTCCTGGTGGGTGTACACTCAGTCAGACAACAACTACTGAGCAACCCGACTCTACAGATTACTCGACCCCTGGCGATACAGATCCCACCACTCGCACCACAGAGGAACTCCAAACATCCACACAGACGAGGACAACTGGAGACGATGTGTCAACGACCTCAACGGATGACGTCGTCACCGAGGAGACAACGGCAGGCACTACTGATGTAGATCTAATAGAAAGTACCACCAGCAGCGGCCCTACGTATACAACTAGTGACACTGCTATCACCGACGTACCAACGACGAGTCCACAGCCCACCGCTACTACCGACGACGCGAGCGCCACGACCGAGTCTATACTAACGACGACTCCATCCATCTGTCCGCCGGGCACTTTCGGCAATGTCCCCCATCCGGAACTGTGCAACTCGTACTACCTGTGCACGGGGGGTATTCCGATACAAGTGTTTTGTCCGGATGGACAAGAATTTGATCCTGAGTTAAGGGTAAGTGTTGCGAATTATTGTCAATTTTATCTATGTAATCTGGTGCATACATTGTCATTTATTAGGACGCATAGAAACACGATGGGTTGTTTTGTAAATGTAACTATTGGTATTGAACTTTGTAAGGGCAAGTTTAGACTCACAAAGTAATATTTTGTTTGAAAATACTCGTACTATTTCAGGCGTGCGTAGAAATCGATATTGTATTGTATTGTATTCTTTAGACCTTTAAAAACGAGGATGCATCCGTACAATATTTCAACCTCTTTCAAGCTTTTTTTCGCATTAAAAAGTAGCCTGTGTTTTCTTAGGGCCTAGTCTATCTGTATACAAAGTTTAATTTAAATCGGTTCAGTAGTTTCGGCGTGAAAGCGAGACAGACAGATAGACAGAGCTATTTTCGTATTTATAATACTAATAAGGATCTTTCAATTTTTCTATGTAATGATTTCATCTCCAATTTATATGCTGCTATAATAAATTGTATGATGCTGTAATAATTTATACATGCTACCAGCATCGTCATTGTTGTATTGTGGTGTGCCAAATATTATTCTATTTTTCTTGTATTTCAGACGTGTGTACAAATAGGTCCCAATGGTTGTACGTTAAGCCAAACTTCGACCACAGGACATACGAGCTCTACTATCTACTCTACCACGAGCATTGCAGTCACAGACCACACAACCACCTCGAGCGAAACTCCCAGCTCGAGCACTGAATCCACCACCCTTACGAGTACCGACCAGGGCAGCTCGGAGACGACCGCTGCGACCACGCCCTCTATCATTTGTCCGGATGAGCCAGAAGTTACATTTATTGTACCGCATCCAGAACTTTGTAACTCGTTCTATGTTTGCATAGACGGAGTGTCCACTCAAGAGTTCTGCCCAGATGGCTATGAGTATGACTTCGACCGATGGGTGAGTTAGGATATTTCACGTTCATTCTACTTAGTATGTGCTTTTATCACGGTTGTACAACGGCACAGATAATGATGTTCACAGTGCTCTAGCGGTTTAGCATAATGGCTTATTTGTAATTATCGTGGGTTAGATTCCTCGCACGACAGAAATAATTGTATTCATAGGTATGGTGTTCTCTACGTATACTATGTATGCATAAAAATATTTATATTTCAGTATTTCTATTAGTTGTCTAGTACAGATAACACAAGCTCCGCTTAGCTTAGGATTAGATGGCGCTGTGTAAACTGTCCTAGGGTTATTAACACGTACCTACTGTCTTTTTTGTACCTTTGCGCCTTCCCCGTATCCATATAACAACCGTGAATGGACAAAAAAAACCTATCTACCAGGATCCTCATAGAAATATTGAATGATATACTATCTACGTATTCTATGTTATTATATCTAAACATTTTGTCAATATCATTTCAGAGTTGTGTACGAATTGCTCCTGGAGGCTGCACTTATGGTCAAACGACAATTCCTATAGGGACGTCAGACATTACACAACCAGACTCTACCACTGCTACTACCGACGACGCGAGCGCCACGACCGAGTCTATACTAACGACGACTCCGTCCATCTGTCCGCCGGGCACTTTCGGCAATGTCCCCCATCCGGAACTGTGCAACTCGTACTACCTGTGCACGGGGGGTATTCCGATACAAGTGTTTTGTCCGGATGGACAAGAATTTGATCCTGAGTTAAGGGTAAGTGTTGCGAATTATTGTCAATTTTATCTAATCTGGTGCATACATTGTCATTTATTAGGACGCATAGAAACACGATGGGTTGTTTTGTAAATGTAACTATTGGTATTGAACTTTGTAAGGGCAAGTTTAGACTCACAAGGTAATATTTTGTTTGAAAATACTCGTAATATTTCAGGCGTGCGTAGAAATCGATATTGTATTGTATTGTATTCTTTAGACCTTTAAAAACGAGGATGCATCCGTACAATATTTCAACCTCTTTCAAGCTTTTTTTCGCATTAAAAAGTAGCCTGTGTTTTCTTAGGGTCTAGACTATCTGTATACAAAGTTTAATTTATATCGGTTCAGTAGTTTCGGCGTGAAAGCGAGACAGACAGATAGACAGAGCTATTTTCGTATTTATAATACTAATAAGGATCTTTCAATTTTTCTATGTAATGATTTCATCTCCAATTTATATGCTGCTATAATAAATTGTATGATGCTGTAATAATTTATACATGCTACCAGCATCGTCATTGTTGTATTGTTGTGTGATGTAACAAATATTATTCTATTCTTCTTGTATTTCAGACGTGTGTACAAATAGGTCCCAATGGTTGTACGTTAAGCCAAACTTCGACCACAGGACATACAAGCTCTACTGTCTACTCTACCACGAGCATTGCAGTCACAGACGACACAACCACCTCGAGCGAAACTACCAGCTTGAGCACTGAATCCACCACCCTCACGAGTACCGACCAGGGCAGCTCGGATACGACCGCTGCGACCACGCCCTCTATCATTTGTCCGGATGAGCCAGAAGTTACATTTATTGTGCCGCATCCAGAACTTTGTAACTCGTTCTATGTTTGCATAGACGGAGTGTCCACTCAAGAGTTCTGCCCAGATGGCTATGAGTATGACTTCGACCGATGGGTGAGTTAGGATATTTCACGTTCATTCTACTTAGTATGTGCTATTATCACGGTTGTACAAAACGGCACAGATAATGATGATCACAGTGCTCTAGCAGTTTAGCATAATGGCTTATTTGTAATTATCGTGGGTTAGATTCCTCGCACGACAGAAATAATTGTATTCATAGGTATGGTGTTCTCTACGTATACTATGTATGCATAAAAATATTTATATTTCAGTATTTCTATTAGTTGTCTAGTACAGATAACACAAGCTCCGCTTATCTTAGGATTAGATGGCGCTGTGTAAACTGTCCTAGGGTTATTAACACGTACCTACTGTCTTTTTTTTACCTTTGCGCCTTCCCCGTATCCATATAACAACAGTGAATGGACAAAAGAAACCTATCTACCAGGATCCTCATAGAAATATTGAATGATATACTATCTACGTATTCTATGTTATTATATCTAAACATTTTGTCAATATCATTTCAGAGTTGTGTACGAATTGCTCCTGGAGGCTGCACTTATGGTCAAACGACAATTCCTATAGGGACGTCAGACATTACACAACCAGACTCTACCACTGCTACTACCGACGACGCGAGCGCCACGACCGAGTCTATACTAACGACGACTCCGTCCATCTGTCCGCCGGGCACTTTCGGCAATGTCCCCCATCCGGAACTGTGCAACTCGTACTACCTGTGCACGGGGGGTATTCCGATACAAGTGTTTTGTCCGGATGGACAAGAATTTGATCCTGAGTTAAGGGTAAGTGTTGCGAATTATTGTCAATTTTATCTAATCTGGTGCATACATTGTCATTTACTAGGACGCATAGAAACACGATGGGTTGTTTTGTAAATGTAAATATTGGTATTGGACTTTGTAAGGGCAAGTTTAGACTTACAAAGTAATATTTTGTTTGAAAATACTCGTACTATTTCAGGTGTGCGTAGAAATCGGTCCTGGTGGGTGTACACTCAGTCAGACAACAACTACTGAGCAACCCGACTCTACAGATTACTCGACCCCTGGCGATACAGATCCCACCACTCGCACCACAGAGGAACTCCAAACATCCACACAGACGAGGACAACTGGAGACGATGTGTCAACGACCTCAACGGATGACGTCGTCACCGAGGAGACGACGGCAGGCACTACTGATGTAGATCTAATAGAAAGTACCACCAGCAGCGGCCCTACGTATACAACTAGTGACACTGCTATCACCGACGTACCAACGACGAGTCCACAGCCCACCGCTACTACCGACGACGCGAGCGCCACGACCGAGTCTATACTAACGACGACTCCATCCATCTGTCCGCCGGGCACTTTCGGCAATGTCCCCCATCCGGAACTGTGCAACTCGTACTACCTCTGCACTGGGGGTATTCCGATACAAGTGTTTTGTCCGGATGGACAAGAATTTGATCCTGAGTTAAGGGTAAGTGTTGCGAATTATTGTCAATTTTATCTAATCTGGTGCATACATTGTCATTTATTAGGACGCATAGAAACACGATGGGTTGTTTTGTAAATGTAACTATTGGTATTGAACTTTGTAAGGGCAAGTTTAGACTCACAAAGTAATATTTTGTTTGAAAATACTCGTAATATTTCAGGCGTGCGTAGAAATCGATATTGTATTGTATTGTATTCTTTAGACCTTTAAAAACGAGGATGCATCCGTACAATATTTCAACCTCTTTCATTCGCATTAAAAAGTAGCCTGTGTTTTCTTAGGGCCTAGTCTATCTGTATACAAAGTTTAATTTAAATCGGTTCAGTAGTTTCGGCGTGAAAGCGAGACGGACAGATAGACAGAGCTATTTTCGTATTTATAATACTAATAAGGATCTTTAAATTTTTCTATGTAATGATTTCATCTCCAATTTATATGCTGCTATAATAAATTTTATGATGCTGTAATAATTTATACATGCTACCAGCACCGTCATTGTTGTATTGTTGTGTGATGTAACAAATATTATTCTATTCTCCTGTATTTCAGACGTGTGTACAAATAGGTCCCAATGGTTGTACGTTAAGCCAAACTTCGACCACAGGACATACAGATCCTCTACCACGAGCATTGCAGCACCACACAACCACCTCGAGCGAAACTCCAAAATCATCCACACAGACGAGGACCAATCATTTGTCCGAGACCAGATTACATTTATTGTGTCATCCACTTTGACTCGTTCTATATTTGCATAGACGGAGTGTCCACTCAAGAGTTCTGCCCAGATGGCTATGAGTATGACTTCGACCGATGGGTGAGTTAGGATATTTCACGTTCATTCTACTTAGTATGTGCTTTTATCACGGTTGTACAACGGCACAGATAATGATGTTCACAGTGCTCTAGCGGTTTAGCATAATGGCTTATTTGTAATTATCGTGGGTTAGATTCCTCGCACGACAGAAATAATTGTATTCATAGGTACTATACTGATGTAGATAAAAATATTTATACCAGCAGTTGTCGGCACAAGCTCCGCTTATCTTAGTAGATGGCGCTGTGTACAACTAGTGACCATATAACTGCTATCACCGAAATATTGAATGATATACGTATTCTACCAACGACGAGTCCACAGGTCCGACCGCTACTACCGACGACGCGAGCGCCACGACCGAGTCTATACTAACGACGACTCCATCCATCTGTCCGCCGGGCACTTTCGGCAATGTCCCCCATCCGGAACTGTGCAACTCGTACTACCTGTGCACGGGGGGTATTCCGATACAAGTGTTTTGTCCGGATGGACAAGAATTTGATCCTGAGTTAAGGGTAAGTGTTGCGAATTATTGTCAATTTTATCTAATCTGGTGCATACATTGTCATTTACTAGGACGCATAGAAACACGATGGGTTGTTTTGTAAATGTAAATATTGGTATTGGACTTTGTAAGGGCAAGTTTAGACTTACAAAGTAATATTTTGTTTGAAAATACTCGTACTATTTCAGGTGTGCGTAGAAATCGGTCCTGGTGGGTGTACACTCAGTCAGACAACAACTACTGAGCAACCCGACTCTACAGATTACTCGACCCCTGGCGATACAGATCCCACCACTCGCACCACAGAGGAACTCCAAACATCCACACAGACGAGGACAACTGGAGACGATGTGTCAACGACCTCAACGGATGACGTCGTCACCGAGGAGACGACGGCAGGCACTACTGATGTAGATCTAATAGAAAGTACCACCAGCAGCGGCCCTACGTATACAACTAGTGACACTGCTATCACCGACGTACCAACGACGAGTCCACAGCCCACCGCTACTACCGACGACGCGAGCGCCACGACCGAGTCTATACTAACGACGACTCCATCCATCTGTCCGCCGGGCACTTTCGGCAATGTCCCCCATCCGGAACTGTGCAACTCGTACTACCTGTGCACGGGGGGTATTCCGATACAAGTGTTTTGTCCGGATGGACAAGAATTTGATCCTGAGTTAAGGGTAAGTGTTGCGAATTATTGTCAATTTTATCTAATCTGGTGCATACATTGTCATTTACTAGGACGCATAGAAACACGATGGGTTGTTTTGTAAATGTAAATATTGGTATTGGACTTTGTAAGGGCAAGTTTAGACTTACAAAGTAATATTTTGTTTGAAAATACTCGTACTATTTCAGGTGTGCGTAGAAATCGGTCCTGGTGGGTGTACACTCAGTCAGACAACAACTACTGAGCAACCCGACTCTACAGATTACTCGACCCCTGGCGATACAGATCCCACCACTCGCACCACAGAGGAACTCCAAACATCCACACAGACGAGGACAACTGGAGACGATGTGTCAACGACCTCAACGGATGACGTCGTCACCGAGGAGACGACGGCAGGCACTACTGATGTAGATCTAATAGAAAGTACCACCAGCAGCGGCCCTACGTATACAACTAGTGACACTGCTATCACCGACGTACCAACGACGAGTCCACAGCCCACCGCTACTACCGACGACGCGAGCGCCACGACCGAGTCTATACTAACGACGACTCCATCCATCTGTCCGCCGGGCACTTTCGGCAATGTCCCCCATCCGGAACTGTGCAACTCGTACTACCTGTGCACGGGGGGTATTCCGATACAAGTGTTTTGTCCGGATGGACAAGAATTTGATCCTGAGTTAAGGGTAAGTGTTGCGAATTATTGTCAATTTTATCTAATCTGGTGCATACATTGTCATTTACTAGGACGCATAGAAACACGATGGGTTGTTTTGTAAATGTAAATATTGGTATTGGACTTTGTAAGGGCAAGTTTAGACTTACAAAGTAATATTTTGTTTGAAAATACTCGTACTATTTCAGGTGTGCGTAGAAATCGGTCCTGGTGGGTGTACACTCAGTCAGACAACAACTACTGAGCAACCCGACTCTACAGATTACTCGACCCCTGGCGATACAGATCCCACCACTCGCACCACAGAGGAAATCCAAACATCCACACAGACGAGGACAACTGGAGACGATGTGTCAACGACCTCAACGGATGACGTCGTCACCGAGGAGACGACGGCAGGCACTACTGATGTAGATCTAATAGAAAGTACCACCAGCAGCGGCCCTACGTATACAACTAGTGACACTGCTATCACCGACGTACCAACGACGAGTCCACAGCCCACCGCTACTACCGACGACGCGAGCGCCACGACCGAGTCTATACTAACGACGACTCCATCCATCTGTCCGCCGGGCACTTTCGGCAATGTCCCCCATCCGGAACTGTGCAACTCGTACTACCTCTGCACTGGGGGTATTCCGATACAAGTGTTTTGTCCGGATGGACAAGAATTTGATCCTGAGTTAAGGGTAAGTGTTGCGAATTATTGTCAATTTTATCTAATCTGGTGCATACATTGTCATTTACTAGGACGCATAGAAACACGATGGGTTGTTTTGTAAATGTAAATATTGGTATTGGACTTTGTAAGGGCAAGTTTAGACTTACAAAGTAATATATTGTTTGAAAATACTCTTTCAAGTACCTATCTATCTGTCACAAAGTTTAATTTAAATCGGTTCAGTAGTTTCGGCGTGAAAGCGAGACGGAGAATTTATAATCGGTCCTGTAATGATGGATGCTGTAATAATTTATGCTACCACTCATTTCAGTGTGTACAGACAATGGTTGTACAACTACTGAGCAACCCGACTCTACAGATTACAGACTCACAACCCCTGGCGAAACTACAGCTCCCACCACTCGCACCACAGAGGAAGAAGTTACATTTATTGTGCCGCATCCAAACATCCACACAGACGAGGACAACTGGAGTATGACTCAACGACCGTGGGTGAGTTAGTGTCAACGTGCCACGGTTGTACAACGGCACAGATAATGATGTTCATGACGTCGTTTAGCATAATGGCTTACGAGATTCCTCGGAGACGACGGCAGGCACTACTGATGTAGATCTAATAGAAAGTACCACCAGCAGCGGCCCTACGTATACAACTAGTGACACTGCTATCACCGACGTACCAACGACGAGTCCACAGCCCACCGCTATTACCGACGACGCGAGCGCCACGACCGAGTCTATACTAACGACGACTCCATCCATCTGTCCGCCGGGCACTTTCGGCAATGTCCCCCATCCGGAACTGTGCAACTCGTACTACCTGTGCACGGGGGGTATTCCGATACAAGTGTTTTGTCCGGATGGACAAGAATTTGATCCTGAGTTAAGGGTAAGTGTTGCGAATTATTGTCAATTTTATCTAATCTGGTGCATACATTGTCATTTACTAGGACGCATAGAAACACGATGGGTTGTTTTGTAAATGTAAATATTGGTATTGGACTTTGTAAGGGCAAGTTTAGACTTACAAAGTAATATTTTGTTTGAAAATACTCGTACTATTTCAGGTGTGCGTAGAAATCGGTCCTGGTGGGTGTACACTCAGTCAGACAACAACTACTGAGCAACCCGACTCTACAGATTACTCGACCCCTGGCGATACAGATCCCACCACTCGCACCACAGAGGAAATCCAAACATCCACACAGACGAGGACAACTGGAGACGATGTGTCAACGACCTCAACGGATGACGTCGTCACCGAGGAGACGACGGCAGGCACTACTGATGTAGATCTAATAGAAAGTACCACCAGCAGCGGCCCTACGTATACAACTAGTGACACTGCTATCACCGACGTACCAACGACGAGTCCACAGCCCACCGCTACTACCGACGACGCGAGCGCCACGACCGAGTCTATACTAACGACGACTCCATCCATCTGTCCGCCGGGCACTTTCGGCAATGTCCCCCATCCGGAACTGTGCAACTCGTACTACCTGTGCACGGGGGGTATTCCGATACAAGTGTTTTGTCCGGATGGACAAGAATTTGATCCTGAGTTAAGGGTAAGTGTTGCGAATTATTGTCAATTTTATCTAATCTGGTGCATACATTGTCATTTACTAGGACGCATAGAAACACGATGGGTTGTTTTGTAAATGTAAATATTGGTATTGGACTTTGTAAGGGCAAGTTTAGACTTACAAAGTAATATTTTGTTTGAAAATACTCGTACTATTTCAGGTGTGCGTAGAAATCGGTCCTGGTGGGTGTACACTCAGTCAGACAACAACTACTGAGCAACCCGACTCTACAGATTACTCGACCCCTGGCGATACAGATCCCACCACTCGCACCACAGAGGAAATCCAAACATCCACACAGACGAGGACAACTGGAGACGATGTGTCAACGACCTCACCGGATGACGTCGTCACCGAGGAGACGACGATAGGCACTACTGATGTAGATCCAATAGAAAGTACCACCAGCAGCGGCCCTACGTATACAACTAGTGACACTGCTATCACCGACGTACCAACGACGAGTCCACAGCCCACCGCTACTACCGACGACGCGAGCGCCACGACCGAGTCTATACTAACGACGACTCCATCCATCTGTCCGCCGGGCACTTTCGGCAATGTCCCCCATCCGGAACTGTGCAACTCGTACTACCTGTGCACGGGGGGTATTCCGATACAAGTGTTTTGTCCGGATGGACAAGAATTTGATCCTGAGTTAAGGGTAAGTGTTGCGAATTATTGTCAATTTTATCTAATCTGGTGCATACATTGTCATTTACTAGGACGCATAGAAACACGATGGGTTGTTTTGTAAATGTAAATATTGGTATTGGACTTTGTAAGGGCAAGTTTAGACTTACAAAGTAATATTTTGTTTGAAAATACTCGTACTATTTCAGGTGTGCGTAGAAATCGGTCCTGGTGGGTGTACACTCAGTCAGACAACAACTACTGAGCAACCCGACTCTACAGATTACTCGACCCCTGGCGATACAGATCCCACCACTCGCACCACAGAGGAAATCCAAACATCCACACAGACGAGGACAACTGGAGACGATGTGTCAACGACCTCAACGGATGACGTCGTCACCGAGGAGACGACGGCAGGCACTACTGATGTAGATCTAATAGAAAGTACCACCAGCAGCGGCCCTACGTATACAACTAGTGACACTGCTATCACCGACGTACCAACGACGAGTCCACAGCCCACCGCTACTACCGACGACGCGAGCGCCACGACCGAGTCTATACTAACGACGACTCCATCCATCTGTCCGCCGGGCACTTTCGGCAATGTCCCCCATCCGGAACTGTGCAACTCGTACTACCTGTGCACGGGGGGTATTCCGATACAAGTGTTTTGTCCGGATGGACAAGAATTTGATCCTGAGTTAAGGGTAAGTGTTGCGAATTATTGTCAATTTTATCTAATCTGGTGCATACATTGTCTTTTACTAGGACGCATAGAAACACGATGGGTTGTTTTGTAAATGTAAATATTGGTATTGGACTTTGTAAGGGCAAGTTTAGACTTACAAAGTAATATTTTGTTTGAAAATACTCGTACTATTTCAGGTGTGCGTAGAAATCGGTCCTGGTGGCTGTACACTCAGTCAGACAACAACTACCGAGCAACCCGACTCTACAGATTACTCGACCCCTGGCGATACAGATCCCACCACTCGCACCACAGAGGAACTCCAAACATCCACACAGACGAGGACAACTGGAGACGATGTGTCAACGACCTCAACGGATGACGTCGTCACCGAGGAGACGACGGCAGGCACTACTGATGTAGATCTAATAGAAAGTACCACCAGCAGCGGCCCTACGTATACAACTAGTGACACTGCTATCACCGACGTACCAACGACGAGTCCACAGCCCACCGCTACTACCGACGACGCGAGCGCCACGACCGAGTCTATACTAACGACGACTCCATCCATCTGTCCGCCGGGCACTTTCGGCAATGTCCCCCATCCGGAACTGTGCAACTCGTACTACCTCTGCACTGGGGGTATTCCGATACAAGTGTTTTGTCCGGATGGACAAGAATTTGATCCTGAGTTAAGGGTAAGTGTTGCGAATTATTGTCAATTTTATCTAATCTGGTGCATACATTGTCATTTACTAGGAACTAGACGCATAGAAACACGATGGGTTGTTTTGTAAATGTAAATATTGGTATTGGACTTTGTAAGGGCAAGTTTAGACTTACAAAGTAATATTTTGTTTGAAAATACTCGTACTATTTCAGGTGTGCGTAGAAATCGGTCCTGGTGGGTGTACACTCAGTCAGACAACAACTACTGAGCAACCCGACTCTACAGATTACTCGACCCCTGGCGATACAGATCCCACCACTCGCACCACAGAGGAAATCCAAACATCCACACAGACGAGGACAACTGGAGACGATGTGTCAACGACCTCAACGGATGACGTCGTCACCGAGGAGACGACGGCAGGCACTACTGATGTAGATCTAATAGAAAGTACCACCAGCAGCGGCCCTACGTATACAACTAGTGACACTGCTATCACCGACGTACCAACGACGAGTCCACAGCCCACCGCTACTACCGACGACGCGAGCGCCACGACCGAGTCTATACTAACGACGACTCCATCCATCTGTCCGCCGGGCACTTTCGGCAATGTCCCCCATCCGGAACTGTGCAACTCGTACTACCTGTGCACGGGGGGTATTCCGATACAAGTGTTTTGTCCGGATGGACAAGAATTTGATCCTGAGTTAAGGGTAAGTGTTGCGAATTATTGTCAATTTTATCTAATCTGGTGCATACATTGTCATTTACTAGGACGCATAGAAACACGATGGGTTGTTTTGTAAATGTAAATATTGGTATTGGACTTTGTAAGGGCAAGTTTAGACTTACAAAGTAATATTTTGTTTGAAAATACTCGTACTATTTCAGGTGTGCGTAGAAATCGGTCCTGGTGGGTGTACACTCAGTCAGACAACAACTACTGAGCAACCCGACTCTACAGATTACTCGACCCCTGGCGATACAGATCCCACCACTCGCACCACAGAGGAAATCCAAACATCCACACAGACGAGGACAACTGGAGACGATGTGTCAACGACCTCAACGGATGACGTCGTCACCGAGGAGACGACGGCAGGCACTACTGATGTAGATCTAATAGAAAGTACCACCAGCAGCGGCCCTACGTATACAACTAGTGACACTGCTATCACCGACGTACCAACGACGAGTCCACAGCCCACCGCTACTACCGACGACGCGAGCGCCACGACCGAGTCTATACTAACGACGACTCCATCCATCTGTCCGCCGGGCACTTTCGGCAATGTCCCCCATCCGGAACTGTGCAACTCGTACTACCTGTGCACGGGGGGTATTCCGATACAAGTGTTTTGTCCGGATGGACAAGAATTTGATCCTGAGTTAAGGGTAAGTGTTGCGAATTATTGTCAATTTTATCTAATCTGGTGCATACATTGTCATTTACTAGGACGCATAGAAACACGATGGGTTGTTTTGTAAATGTAAATATTGGTATTGGACTTTGTAAGGGCAAGTTTAGACTTACAAAGTAATATTTTGTTTGAAAATACTCGTACTATTTCAGGTGTGCGTAGAAATCGGTCCTGGTGGGTGTACACTCAGTCAGACAACAACTACTGAGCAACCCGACTCTACAGATTACTCGACCCCTGGCGATACAGATCCCACCACTCGCACCACAGAGGAAATCCAAACATCCACACAGACGAGGACAACTGGAGACGATGTGTCAACGACCTCAACGGATGACGTCGTCACCGAGGAGACGACGGCAGGCACTACTGATGTAGATCTAATAGAAAGTACCACCAGCAGCGGCCCTACGTATACAACTAGTGACACTGCTATCACCGACGTACCAACGACGAGTCCACAGCCCACCGCTACTACCGACGACGCGAGCGCCACGACCGAGTCTATACTAACGACGACTCCATCCATCTGTCCGCCGGGCACTTTCGGCAATGTCCCCCATCCGGAACTGTGCAACTCGTACTACCTGTGCACGGGGGGTATTCCGATACAAGTGTTTTGTCCGGATGGACAAGAATTTGATCCTGAGTTAAGGGTAAGTGTTGCGAATTATTGTCAATTTTATCTAATCTGGTGCATACATTGTCATTTACTAGGACGCATAGAAACACGATGGGTTGTTTTGTAAATGTAAATATTGGTATTGGACTTTGTAAGGGCAAGTTTAGACTTACAAAGTAATATTTTGTTTGAAAATACTCGTACTATTTCAGGTGTGCGTAGAAATCGGTCCTGGTGGGTGTACACTCAGTCAGACAACAACTACTGAGCAACCCGACTCTACAGATTACTCGACCCCTGGCGATACAGATCCCACCACTCGCACCACAGAGGAAATCCAAACATCCACACAGACGAGGACAACTGGAGACGATGTGTCAACGACCTCAACGGATGACGTCGTCACCGAGGAGACGACGGCAGGCACTACTGATGTAGATCTAATAGAAAGTACCACCAGCAGCGGCCCTACGTATACAACTAGTGACACTGCTATCACCGACGTACCAACGACGAGTCCACAGCCCACCGCTACTACCGACGACGCGAGCGCCACGACCGAGTCTATACTAACGACGACTCCATCCATCTGTCCGCCGGGCACTTTCGGCAATGTCCCCCATCCGGAACTGTGCAACTCGTACTACCTGTGCACGGGGGGTATTCCGATACAAGTGTTTTGTCCGGATGGACAAGAATTTGATCCTGAGTTAAGGGTAAGTGTTGCGAATTATTGTCAATTTTATCTAATCTGGTGCATACATTGTCATTTACTAGGACGCATAGAAACACGATGGGTTGTTTTGTAAATGTAAATATTGGTATTGGACTTTGTAAGGGCAAGTTTAGACTTACAAAGTAATATTTTGTTTGAAAATACTCGTACTATTTCAGGTGTGCGTAGAAATCGGTCCTGGTGGGTGTACACTCAGTCAGACAACAACTACTGAGCAACCCGACTCTACAGATTACTCGACCCCTGGCGATACAGATCCCACCACTCGCACCACAGAGGAAATCCAAACATCCACACAGACGAGGACAACTGGAGACGATGTGTCAACGACCTCAACGGATGACGTCGTCACCGAGGAGACGACGGCAGGCACTACTGATGTAGATCTAATAGAAAGTACCACCAGCAGCGGCCCTACGTATACAACTAGTGACACTGCTATCACCGACGTACCAACGACGAGTCCACAGCCCACCGCTACTACCGACGACGCGAGCGCCACGACCGAGTCTATACTAACGACGACTCCATCCATCTGTCCGCCGGGCACTTTCGGCAATGTCCCCCATCCGGAACTGTGCAACTCGTACTACCTGTGCACGGGGGGTATTCCGATACAAGTGTTTTGTCCGGATGGACAAGAATTTGATCCTGAGTTAAGGGTAAGTGTTGCGAATTATTGTCAATTTTATCTAATCTGGTGCATACATTGTCATTTACTAGGACGCATAGAAACACGATGGGCTGTTTTGTAAGTGTAAATATTGGTATTGTACTTTCTAAGGACAAGTTTAGACTTACAAAGTAATATTTTGTTTGAAAATACTCGTACTATTTCAGGTGTGCGTAGAAATCGGTCCTGGTGGGTGTACACTCAGTCAGACAACAACTACTGAGCAACCCGACTCTACAGATAACTCGACCCCTGGCGATACAGATCCCACCACTCGCACCACAGAGGAACTCCAAACATCCACACAGACGAGGACAACTGGAGACGATGTGTCAACGACCTCAACGGATGACGTCGTCACCGAGGAGACGACGGCAGGCACTACTGATGTAGATCTAATAGAAAGTACCACCAGCAGCGGTCCTACGTATACAACTAGTGACACTGCTATCACCGACGTACCAACGACGAGTCCACAGCCCACCGCTACTACCGACGACGCGAGCGCCACGACCGAGTCTATACTAACGACGACTCCATCCATCTGTCCGCCGGGCACTTTCGGCAATGTCCCCCATCCGGAACTGTGCAACTCGTACTACCTCTGCACTGGGGGTATTCCGATACAAGTGTTTTGTCCGGATGGACAAGAATTTGATCCTGAGTTAAGGGTAAGTGTTGCGAATTATTGTCAATTTTATCTAATCTGGTGCATACATTGTCATTTACTAGGACACATAGCAACACGATGGGTTGCTTTGTAAATGTAAATTCTCTATTTCTATTTCTATTGGTATTGGACTTTCTAAGGACAAGTTTAGAATAGAATAGAAAAACATTTATTTAAATAAACTTACATTGAAACACTTTTGAATATTCATTACAATTTTTTTATCTACCGCTCATTCGGAAAGCTGTCTCATCACAAGAAGAACGAACAAGAAACTTGCGTGTTGCTCTTGTAAATTATTTTATTATTAGTTTACATTTTGAATACATTTTTTTACGTGTGTGAATACAAATCATCAATTAGTACTAATTCAATTAAATACTCAAATTGAAAAAATATTGAATATAGACCCAACTGGTTAAACAATTAATAAGAGGAAATCAGTCGTAGTGATTAGAGCAAATCAGCAAGCAGCACCCGTTCACGAGTATGACGGATGAGCCAGCCATCACTCCGCTCGACCATATTTTAGGGAGCCCAATGACCCGGCCCACCACATTGTAAACTAATTATTTACTTGATATGCTGTCATCTATGAATTCGTTTTGCCAATTTAACTATCTACTTAGTAGTTAGTAGTACTGTATAATTATGGCATGTAATGTATAAATAAAATAATGTAATGTTGATTATAATATAAATTATATAATTACAGGTGTGCATAGAAATTGATACAGGAGGATGTACAATCCATCAGAGAACAAGTGTCAATCTCCCAGCTGAGAGTGATCAACCGACTCAGTTGGAGTGCCAATCGAACATGTCGTGGCGTGTTAAGCACCCGGAACTGTGCAACTCGTACAACCTGTGCACAGGAGGTGTCCTGATACAGCTGTTCTGTCCGGATGGATATAAATATGATGACGATTCTCAGGTAAACTCTATACAGCTGCACACAGAGTAAAAACTCGTCTACGTGTGTACCTCAGGTTCACCTATTTCAGCCGCTAGCTAGCTTGCTTTGTAAGCCGGTTCGATTTTAGATTACAACACTATTGACAGTTTAATCAGTCAAGCATTACTAGTATCACGGATGTCACGTGATAACGTGATGTCTGTAGTGCTGTTCACGTGTATAGGTGACGCTTACCACTCACTGGATATTGATTTGCCATTAGCTTGTTTTGTACGATGATTTCATAATAATCATAATATTAAAAACATAGTCATGCTAAATTAGGGTTTTGTTTTCAAATCATTTATTCAAATAAACTTAATTTAAGCTGTTTTGAATAGTCAACATTTTTTTTTAATCTACCGCTTATTCGGAAAGTCTCATCACAAGAAGAATAAGCAAGAAACTTGTGTGTTGCTCTTTTAAACAATCTTTGTAAGTTCACATTTTACAAGTCGAAACGTGTGAATACAAACTACCAACCAGCACTAATTTATTTAGGCTCAAATATAAAAACAATAAGATTAAATCAGTCGTAGTGATAAGAGCAGACCAGTCCCTACAAGCAGCACTCGTTCACGCCATCACTGCGCTCGACCATATTTTTGGGAGCCCAATGACAGTAACAGTTGAAATAATACCAGTAATATTATTATCTACAGGAACTATTCCTAAAACACTATATAAAGCAATAGATGATCTGAAATTATATAAACTAATCTACATTCCACTACAAAAGGCTGTTGTCTTAGATACATGTGCAATAGTCCGTCGCTTCCTGAATGGCACAGAATAAAGTGAAACAGAGACTTGGCATGTCCCGTCCTCGGTACTGGTCAACAGCTTAAGCCGTGAAAAACATATAAAAATATTAATAAAGTCTCAAGACAATTCACACAGTGCCATAGTCCCAAGTTAAGCTAGTTAAAGCTTGTATTATGGGTACTAGATAACTGATATACATAGATATATATTTTTTTCGTAAATACAATACATATTATATATGTATAATATGATATAAACAATCATACTCATGAATACAAATCAAATATTTGTACCATGAATTGAACCCGCGACCATCGGCAGTAAGGCGATGTGCTAAACCGCTAGACCAGTGGTCGTCAGAATGAGCAAGAAACTTGTCAGTTGTATTTTTAAATAAGTGTTGTTCTAAGTAAATACACATTAACAAGGTGAAGGCATGCAATAAAACTTAAGAATTTATAATAACTGATTAAGACAGACCTATTTTTTTCTGTTTGAATGATGGCAAACAAGCATACGGCCCATCTGATGGTAAATGGTTACCGTAGCCTATAGACGCCTGAAACACCAGGGGTGCCGCCCCTTATGAAAGCTTAATATACACTTCTTGAAAAACCCGATGGTGCAGTCTCTCTTCTTAATTTGTTTTTATTTTCAGGAATGCATCTTAACATCTGAAAATGGCTGTGCAGCGCTGAAAACTTAAAATATACTACACACTAAATGTTCAATTAAAGTTATCTATACATATAAATAAAATTGGAGTGTCTGTTTGTAATATTGAAATAAACGTTTTTTACTACATGCATATGAATATAAATACGATACATACACCAAAATAACATTTTTTTCAATTTTTGTCTGTCTGTCTGTCGGTCTGTTTGTTCCGGGTAATCTCTGAAATGGCTGGACCGATTTTGACGGGACTTTTTTTGGCAGGTAATAAGGAGTAACTTAGGCTACTTTTATTTTAGAATATTAAAGTTAAATTCCACGCGGACGAAGTCGCGGGAAATCCAGCTAGTTTATAATAAAACTAATGACCGGTCCCAGCTTCGCTCGGATGCGTTACAAATCTTTGAATTTCTTGCTATATTCTATACTATAACACGCATGTATTATACATATAAACCTTCCTCTTGAATCACTCTATCTATTGATGAAAACTGCATTAAAACCGTTGTGTGATTTAAGATATAAAGAAACAGACATCGGTGGCGATTTTGTTTTATACTATGTAAAGATATGAATTGTAAATATTTATATCTAAATATATATAACTCAAAGGTGACTGACATAGTGATCTATCAACGCACAGCCCAAACTACTGGACGGATCGGGCTGAAACTTGGCATGCAGGTAGATGTTATGACGTAGGCATCCAAAAAAAGGATTTTGATTAATTCCACTGGACGGGGATGAAAGTTTGTATGGAACTTTGTCAATTTTACACCGATCGGTCTGAGACTTTGCATGCATAAAGCTACTATGACGTAGGCATCCGCTAAGAAAGGATTTTGATAAATTCCACCCTTAAGGGGATAAATTAACGCGAACGAAGCCGCGGGCAAAAGCTAGTATAATATAAAATACACATGTTATATACTTGCATTTTTTTCTTTGTACCAAGGTAGATTGTAAAAACTCGTCTGCGTGTGTACCTCAGTCTCACCTATTTCAGCCAAGCAGCTTGCTTTGTAAGCTGTTTCAGTTGTAGGGTGCAGTGCAGATTAGGCAGTGAAATTACAGGATAAGAGGCGTGACATCTTAGTTCTACGAAATGATAATGTTTAACAGGTGTTCATAATATATCATCATATTATATATGTGAATATGCATATATATAATTTGAAGGTAACAAAATATGTATACTACTAACTGTACTCGCGACTTCGTCCACGTGAAATTTTATTTTATTTTTCTAAAATAATAGTAGACTAAGTTACTCCTTATTAGATCAGCTACCAGCCTGTAACAGTCTCGTCAAAATCGGTCTAGTCATTTCAGAGATTAGCCGGAACAAACAGACAAAAATTGAAAAAAAAAATGTTATTTTAGTGTATGTACCGTATTTATATTCATATGCATGTAGTAAAAAACGGTTATATCAATATTACAAAAAGACACCCTATTTCAAAGCAGCTTAAAGTTTCATCAAAATCCGTTCAGTAGTTTTTGCAGAAAGACTGAACAACTATCCATCCATATCACAGGCGTGACATTTATAATATTATATAATAATTTTATATGTCAGTCTATAAGGTATTTATAATAAGGGTCAATTGTAACCTGATATAAAATTCTATATTTCATGTCCATCTTTGTCACAAAGAAATAAAAAAGATTATATAATATGTACAATATTTAATCATCATCATCATCATCATCAAATCTTTCTTCTTTCTACCATAATAGTAGCTTCAAGTTACTCCTGGATTGAACACACTCCAGTTTGTAACAGTCTGCATCAAAATCTTGTTTCTAGTCATTTCAGAGATTAGCCGCAAAAGTAGACAGACAAAATCTGAAAAAAAATGTTATTTTGGTGTATGTACCGTATTTATATTCATATGCATGTAGTAAAAAACGGTTATATCAATATTACAAACAGACACCATATGTAAAGTACTACTGTAAAGTTTCATAAAAATCCGTTCAGTAGTTTTTGCCAGAGATCCACCGAAATACTCACAAAGATTCGCGTTTATAATATTATATAACAATTTTATATGTCAGTCTAAAAACGAACCATTGGTTAACAACACGTCAATTTAATCATGATATAAAATTATATATTTCATGTCCATCTTTGTCACAAAGAAATAAAAAAGATTATATAATATGTACAATATTTAATCATCATCATCATCATCATCATCATCACTCTCTTCTCTCTTCACCAACTTGGCTTCAAGCTCCTTCGCTGGATTGAACACACCTCCAGTTTGAGCGTTGCATATGAAACATCTTGCAGATTTCTTGTAATTTTCTAAAGCGCATTTCTCGCAGAAGTAGTGTTTACATCTGAAAGGATATTGGGTACCTTTGTATTGTTAGAGTTCACATCAATATTGTAGAAAAATCCGATATTTTAAAATGATATTACAAGAAGGTAGTTTGTGTTTAGTACTAATGAAGTACCCAATGTAAAGATTATTACAAATATTGTAAATAGCGCCATCTAGTATTTATAGACCGACCTACTACACTGACTTTGGTCTATAAATACGGAGGTCGGTAGTTGAATAATCCTCTTTCGTTGGGTGAGCCTCGGCATTCAGTCGACGAGCGCAGAGCGTGCCGGTTCTGTTTCGGATATTAAAGTGAATTGTATTAGAAATGGGTTTATCCCGGTCTTAGTTGGGCCTGGGGGGAAGCTGCGAGTAGTGAAGGTGAGTGTTAATGTATTCTAAAAGGGCCTTTTAAACCTACACCCGTGTCACAAGTCACGGGCGCTATTTAAGGTTTTCCTTGCGGTAGCCGGCTTCAAAGCCTAAGTTGTTATCATTAATTAGTGCTTCTTACAGTATGAAATCTATACGAACGGCATACAGACAAAATATAGAGTAGTAAGTTAAGATAAACATCTCTTCCTCTAGTTTATGAATATATTCGTATGGTAGAATTTTTTTTAATAATATATAGTCGACCTTTGGAAAGTTTACACTCTTTCCCGAGGAGATAAAAACTATCGCTCCTAAGAATTCAATTCTTGTCCCTGACGGGTCTAGGTAGCGAAAATTGAAAAAGGGCGAGCAAAATAGATCTATACAGGTCGCAGTGCTACAGGTGCTACAGGCACGCGACAAAAGCCCAAGCAATCCAATAAAAAAAAATAGTCAACAGTCGTTTTCCACAATGTTTTTTTGTTCAACTCTAATGCTGTTGGCCGCAGCTGGCCTTTACAGCTTCACCGGACGATAGGGGCGAGTGCAGATGGCACTCCAAACCAAAGGAAGGACTTATGGAGCGGCTGAAGGACAACTCCCGCCTGACGGATATGACTTTAGTCTTAGGGCACCGCTAAGGGTGCGAACCTCGGCTTGGGCCGTCGTAATTTCGATCCCCGTTTGAATTGGATGGGGGATCGATCAGAGGGGGATCCCACACCACACCAGAGGGTGGGGGGGTCTTTGCTTACTTCCTAAATTTGAATTTAAATGAATCTGTATTATTAAAATCATGTACATTTATTTAAAAAAAAATACGAACAAAGTTTCTTGTTAGTTCTTCTCATCTCGAAATCATTCCGAACTGACGGTAGATTTGACATATCATAATAGTCTGTAATAGACCTACATGAATGAAGATATTTTGATTTTTTTTTTAATTTTGGAACACATGGGGCGTAGGGAAGTCCAGATGATGATTACGTCATCGGGTTATTTTTTTTACACGAATGGCAACTCTCACATGGTCTTTGCTAAAACAATACATTAATTGAAAAATGTTTACGTAATCATGGGGAAGGGGGTAAGAGCTTTGCTTATTTTTGCTAAGGGGGATGAGGGGGTAAATAATTGTAATAAATCTGCTTACATAATACTTGAACGGCCCCAAAGCCTAAGCCGTCATCATAATAAGTGGTTCTTACATGATTGCTTTATGACATATCATCGTACATACGACCTCGGTGGTGTAGTGGTTGAGCACACCGCTTTACTGCCAATGGTCGCGGATTGAAGTATGGTCATCTCTTACTTGGTGACAATAGGGTCTGTGAAGCTTCCTCTGCATATAAAACAGCGGAAGGGCAGCTCCTCGTCGCTGTGGACCTCATAATCGGAGTCGCCTCCAACTGCTGCAGCCTCCACCTCTTCTCTTTCCAGCTGCCAGCCGTGTTTGTAATCGGAGCGATCGTGAAGAAATTTACAGGAATCTGAAATTAATATTTACATTTTCATAATTTATAAGATAGCAAAGGATATACTGGAATTACTTTTAAATAAATTCAAAACAAATGTTAAGTCATATTTATTGAACAAAGCCTATTACTCACTAACCGATTAGTTGAATGACGAGCGTGCATGGCAATAGTTATTCATGGACGGGATTTTCATTTAATGTTAGACATAGACACCTATATAAATATACATTGTAAATAAACTGGCTTTAAAAAGAAAAAAATAAAAAATTCAAGTTTCTTGTCAGTTCTTCCCAATTGAATCTGTATAGTAGGAAAAAATTTACCGGCTAAAATGTCCTACATGAATAAATGATTTTTGAATTTGAATTTAAGTATTAAAGACTAGCTTAGCCCGCGGTTTCACTTGGGTGAAGTTTATAGCCTGTTGCGGGTTCGATTCCTCGCACGGTGCAAACATTTGTATTCATGGGTATGACTGTTTGCATCGGTCTGGGTATTTTCTATGTATTATGTATGTATTTAAAAAAAATCTAAGTATTTAACATCAGTTGTCTAGTACCCATAATACAAGCTCTGCTTACCGTGAGACTAGATGGCGCTGTGTTAATTGTCCAGGGTTATTTATTTACTATTATTATTCTATTATTCTGTTACCAGTGTCCATCAGGTGGGTCGTCAGTTTGAATCTCATTCCGAGTTAAAAATCGACTCAATTTGTCGCCACTTACCTCCGAAACCACAAAAACCGGTTTCCTTGTAATCCTTGCATATATCCGGTTGGTAGTCCCATCTGTGGGCAAAAGGAATTTTAATTTCGTCCCAACTATTATTTATTGGCATTACCTACACCCTAAAACTTTCAACCCCTATTTAGACCTAGCTGTGGCCGCGACTTCGTCCACGTAGAATAATGATCTTAACCAAATAAAGAAAAAATATTTAATAATCTAATCCAAAGCAAAATGTATCATAAAATCATCGTTCTAGCTTAAAAAAATATAAATTTCCGTACAATTGTCATCCCCTATTTTATTTTACCCCCTTAAGGGTAATTTATTATAAACTTTATATGTGATACTTATTTTTATTTAATCTACAACCAAAAAGTTTGTAACTTTAAAAATTACGATACTCCATAAAACCTTTATGTTCCATTTCAAGAGCTTACAATCCTTTTTACGCAATCAAAAGTAGGCAATAGTCTAGATTATCTGTGTAACAAATTTCATTTAAATCCGTTCAGTAATTTTAGCATAAAAGTGACACACCCACTTTACTGTTTGTCTCTTTACAGACAGACAGTTAGTTTCGCATTTATAATATTACTAAGTGTCGCGTACAAGCAGCAACAAAACTCAACACGAAGAGGGCGTTCTGATTGGAGCGCACACCCATCCAATTTAAATTCCCTACGTAACGTAATAGACTTAAAAAATCAACCGATCGATCTAATGTAATTTATCACAGTATTTTCCCATTAAATTGAAGAATAAGTAAAACTATCATTTTTAAAACCCTGTAATCTGCTGAAGCCATCAACATCTACTATCTGAGCATTCGAGCTGCATCAACACGTAGTAGTAAGGAAAGTAAAGATAGAATAGAATAGAAAATAATTTATGCAAATAAATCTACATTTAAGCATTTTTGAATAGATATCAGTCATTTTATTAATCTACTGCTCATTTGGAAAGTTTTCATCACAAGAACGAGCAAGAAACTAGCGTGTTGCTTTTATAAATAAATGTAACTTTACATTTTCAAGTTGATATTCAAGTAGGTTTATTACAGACTAACGATATGTCAAATCTATTGTCAGTTTTGAGTGCTTTTGATATGAGAAGAACTGATAAGAAACTCAGCTCTTACTTTCAAATGAGATTGTACATGTTTAATATATAAAAATTTAAATTTCAAAATCTACAAATGTATTTGAATTAAAATTGCTTATATATAGGTACCTGACTGTGGCCCTCAAATTCGCTGGAGCCCTAATAGGCCCTTTTCTCACCAGTCCCGAGCTGGCGTTCCCGGCGGCCGTATCCCGTTTCTTGTAGTATTGCGCGTAATTATTTATACCGCGGTAAATCTGAAAGTGGGGGAAGGGATTATTAGTAATAGGGACTGGTGACCCATTGCTGGCATGTACTATGTCAGGTTGAACTCCACGCGGATCCCCGGGAAACCATCGTGATAAATTGTTGGAGAATTTGTCACGATGAGCTACCTGCCCTGACTTCATGCTCATCTTATCATCCTCCACTGGTGCCCCGCCAGCATAAACCGTTAGCGCAGGCGGGTGCACCATTCCATTATCATTAATGTAAAAAAATCTGAAAATGTAATTAATATAATAATAATAATCTCAGGACAATTCACACAGCGCCATCTAGACCCAAGTTAAGCTAGCCCAAGCTTGTGTTACGGGTACTAGACAACTGATACAGATACATAGATATTTTTTTCGTAAATACATATATAATATATGTACATAGAAAACACCCAGACCGATACAAACAATCATACCCATGAATACAAATGTTTGTGCCGTGCGAGGAATCGAACCCGCGACTATCGGACGTAAAGCGGTGTGCTAGACCGCTAGACCACAGAGGTCGTCAACTGTTATAATTGTTTATATTTATAGAAACAAAATCAGAAATACACAATTCACATAGAACATTTTAGACGCTTATGAATATCAATTACTTTATCATCGGCCTGGCCTTGTAATTCCTCGTTAATTTTCTGCGCCTTCTCGAATATAGCCTGTGCGTCTCTGTCTCTCTCGGTATCAAGTTCGTATGTTGCCGTCGCATTCTCTCGTTGCTGTTGTACCGAAAGTGTTGTCCTTGATTCCTCAGCCTGAAAAAAAATATATATTACTATTAAATATTACTAACATTGCAGGAAAATAGAAATCGAGCCTATATGTGTGTACTAAGATATAAATAAAAATTCTTATCTATCTATTTATCTAAATTCAGACATTTATTTTTATATTTCAAAAGAGCAATCTGCATTGTGATTGAGTGGTAGAATCAAACTACGATTATTCAAAAGTGCTTGTAATGAGTTTATTAATCCTAATCCTAAAAGGATTTACTAACAAAGTGTTGTTTGTAGACATAAGTACCTTATCATCATCACTGTTCTCTGTATTTATGTCTGGTTTCTGCTTCCTGGTTCCCGCTGTTGACTGTTTGTTCGGATTCTGTTTCTGTGCACGTTTTGTTGGCAACACTACCGTTTGTTCATCCGAGTCTGAACTGTTTTTTTCTGTGAACAACAGAAATATAATTTGATCAAATGATTTAATCTTATTGCATATTTATATTTGACCCAAAAAATTGGTAGTTTGTGTTCACATGTTTCGACTTAAAAATGTAAAGTTACAAGAATTATTTAAAAGAGCAACACACAAGTTTCTTGCTCATTCTTCTTGTGATGAGATAGTTTTCTGAACGAGTGGTAGATAAAACAAAACAAATTGTTATGACTATTCAAAAGTGCTTAAATTAAGTTTACTTGAATAAATGATTTTCTATTTCTATAAATTTATTAATGTTTATTGAACAATATGTTTATTCCGCAAAACATAAATAACAAGCGTATGTATATGGACATAAAATTCTATCTTATTTTTTACTATTTATTTCTTTTTCATCAAATTAAATGAAATCAAATAAAAAAGAATTTGTTCATGTAGAAAAATTTTGCCGCCTATGATATGCAACTAGCTTTTGCCAGCGGCTTCACTCGCGTTTTTTTATCACTTTTGGGGTGGAATTTATCAAAATCCTTTCTTAGGTGATGCCTACGTCATAGTAGCTTTATGCATACAAACTTTCATCCCCTTTTTTTTCCGTTGAGGGTAGAATTAATCAAAACCCTTTCTTAGCGGATGCCTACATCATAACATCTACCTGCATGCCAAATTTCAGCCCGATCTGTCCAGTGATTTGGGCTGTGCATTGATAGATCACTATGTCAATCACCTTTGAGTTATATATATTTAGATATTAAATGAAAAATTATTCGCATGTGTGCTGTGGTCAGACTGAGCATAGTATAATAGATAGAATATACTTGCAATGTACAGAAAAGAGAAAAATTACACTGTAACATTTATAAATACATTTGTATGTAACTACAATAAGGTGGCTAAGGAGGAATACTGTTTGTCTTTAATATTATTTGTCTATAGCTTTCTAATAAATTATGGTCGATTTTTGACCACTAGTGGTTACTAAACAACTGATAGAACAAGTGATGAGGCCAAAGTGCATAAGTTCATTAATGTTTATTTATTATGTCTTCATAACGTGTTCAAAATTCCACTACACATCTTACAAAGTCCATATCCTTGTATCAAATTATTTAAAGTTTTATCGATACTCGTGTGCACAAAGTATACGTATAAATATATAGCTATATATGTTTTCTCCCGCCTTTATTCTTGAAGTTACGCTTTTTGAAAGTCGTAGCTACTTCCACTTCTTCGTCTGACATTTTCGTTGATTTACCATGAACGTTAACACTTAGTTTTATCAATTATATACTTAATATAGTGGTTTTATTTTGAAATACAATATTATTAAATGGAATAAATAATATAAACTTATCAAAAACAATCCAATTTGTTTACAACTCGTGAACACAGAGCAGAACACTGTTTATAAGATTTGAAAATGTCAACTTGACAGCAGTTGACATTGACAGTTAGAGAATCTTATTTAGGCTGTTTGGTGTTAAATATTAAATTAAAATTAAAATACAACATTAAAACTACTACGATTTATATATTTACGACTATAAAAGTTTAATAAAATTGTTATTGTTTGATATATTTTTTATTGCAACTCATACATTAATATTGACTGTAGGCAATACAATAGAGATCATTTAGGGGACTTCTATTTTAGTCCGTGTTGTTTTGAATCACTTCATATATATTTTAGCAACTTCCTTATTTACCGTGAAATGTGCATTTATTGTATAGGAATTTAGAATTGTTACTTTTATAATCTGTTGGTAAAACCAATTACTACGACGTCATTAGAGTGGTCCATTTGGACGATTTCCAAATAACTATATATTTGAGTTCTCGCTTTTTAATAAAATGTTGAATAAAGACGAACTTTTATTCTCTTAAAGATAGTCATTTGAGATACCTATATTTATTGATACGAAGGGAAGCCTATGTTTATTGGATGAAGGGAGTGAGAGGATTGTTCTGGGACCAATGGGTGTATGCCTTGCTACTTGTAATATTCCTGTAGTGTCCGGGCCGTCCGTGACACCTTGTGAATAAAATACAATTTCAAAATCAAATAGCCTTTTATATTTATAAAAAAAACACACCATTTTAACCGTTTTACAAAACTCCTATTTACTGCAAAGAATATACTACTCAAGAGATTTACTGGTTCTTCCATAGATATCTTTTATTTTTACCATAGACAAATTACTTGTCTATTATAAAATAGACAAGTATACAATATTTTTAATATATATCAATTCCTGTGTGTTGGTGTGGACCGTTACAACTATATAACTTTGTTATATCATTTTGAATCTTCAATTCAATTCTATTCGATTCAATTTATTTACTGTACTTCCGCTTGACTCATGGAGAATTCATTAGATGTAATGCCGCTAGAGTCAAACTGAAGAGGAAACGCCACTACATGTCCTATGCACCGCCGTCTTAATAAGGCTGGGGCCCTTAGGCACACAAGAATTCGGGGCCCTGTTGGGAAGTAAAAAAAAACTTTTTTATTAAGTATGACCATTTATAGGTAAACAAATACAGTATGATATAAATATGCTGGTTTTTGTTTTGTTACGATTACGATAACGGTTTTTTTAAATGATACAATAACTCAGTCGTTGTTGTAACATTGTTGTACCCAATACATTTTTTTTGCGTGATTGCGTGAGTGATTGGAAGATGGTGTACTTAGTCAATTACATAGGTAGTGCCTGATTGTGACACTGGTGCCTCGCTAGCGTTGTTATTGTATTTTTTTAAGTCATTATTGTAGTGTCTTTATTATAATAGAATAGATCAGTGGTTCCCAAATAGTTTTTGTTGCGTACCACTTCAAAAAAGACCTCAAACCTTTCGTAAGGGGTACGCAAGGTTTGAGGTCTTGTAGCAATCACACTAACATTATAAATGTGAAAGTTTGTGAGTGTGTCTGTATGTTTGTTTTACTGATAGCCGCACGTATCTCTTGGTGCAAATTTCACGTACCCCTGGGGGTACGCGTACCACTAATTGGGAAACACCGGAATAGATCTAAATTCTATTCTATTCTATTCTATTCGATTATTGTTCTGTTCTATTTTATATTCTATTCTGTTCTAATAAAGTAAAATCCCTGTTTCCGACAGTCTGTGTTTCCGCGTATTTTTAAATTACATAATGAATTTCCATACAACTTTCACTATCATTTAGACCTGAGGTTCTCAAACTTTTTTGTGTCGTAGATCCCTTGCTATATTTTTAGTTTTTGGGTAGACTCCTCATTCTTACCTGGTATTGATTTTTTGTAAATTTCTAACTGTAGTAAGTAAAAACAACAAGATGACCGCTGTCGTAGATCCCTTGCAGTTTGTCATAGACCCCTGGGGGTCGATATAGACCCCCAAGGGTCTTTGGGAATCACTGATCTAGACATTACTGTTTGCTGGAGGAATATTGCAATGTTTAATTTGTTTTAATTGTAATAAATAAAATATTTAGAATATATTGTACACGGATTTTAATAATAACGCCACGGAATGTTCGAGGAGTGCTAAATTGTATATAAAATCAATGTTCTGTGCCTAACGTTCCAAATTTGAATTTTTATAATTTTATTTTTAAATATATTAAATGGCTATTTGCAATTGCAAACAATTACCTTTCGGAATTTCATTAACAAACATACCATCATGACTGCTATCCTAAATGGGCTAGCCAGAGTGTTAATACTAAGTATTAACATCTCAAAATAATGTAGTAAATGTATTTCTCCTATTTTTTTTGTAATTATTGCAATGATTTTTCTTTGTTTTGTGTGTTTTATTGTGTAACGTCATTTTATATAAAGTCGATTATAATTTAGGGTTGCCAACACCAAATTTAAAAAACTAGGATTTGAAACTGGCTTATAGGATAATTTAGTTTAAAACCAGGACTCAGTGATATACTTGACAGTTATAACATCGACAGTTGCATTGTCAACTGTCAATGTTGTGGTGAATACACTTGACAAGCCACATTTCGGTCGGTGTATTTGAATAAAGAACACACCTTACTCCAATATACGGCGGCAGGTTCTAGCCTACTTGCGAGTCATGTTCTCCTGGTACATTCACTGTAGGATCGGTAATACTAAGACAACTTCACGACTGTTATCTTTGATGGAGTAGTCAGTCATTGTCAACCGTCCATATTGGGGTGAATACTGTGTGAATCTCGACGAGGTGCGTGCATGTATTAGTTGTAAATAATTAGAAAAACATCAAATTGTAATTTATCGTAATTATATATATTTATTAAAATGTCGATATAATTAGCGGTGTAACAAAATATTGAATCACAGTAAAAACAAATGACAATCGATATATTGAGAACACAGCGTTACTACATTTAAATATGATTAAATAAATAATTGAAGAGGTTTTGAATACCTATTTTTCTTGGAGTTTCCAACAAGTACAACACTTGACATGTCCACATTTCGCTCGGTATATTTGAATAAACAACATACCTTACTCCAGTATACGGCGGTAGTCTCTAGCCTACTTGCGAGTCATGTTATCCTGGTACATTCACTGTAGGATCGGTAACACTAAGACAACATCACGACTGTTATCTTTGATGGAGTAGTCAGAGTCATTGTCAACTGTCGATTTTGTGGTGACAACACTTGGTATATCAACATTTCGCTCGGTATGTTTGAATAAAGAAAACACATATCCAGTATAGGGCGGTAGTCTCTAGCCTACTTGCGAGTCATGTTCTCCTAGTACATTCACTGTAGGATCGGTAATACTAAGACAACTTCACGACTGTTATCTTTTATGGAGTAGTCAGAGTCATTGTCAACTGTCGATTTTGTGGTGACAACACTTGGTATGTCAACATTTCGTTCGGTATGTTTGAATAAAGAAAACACATATCCAATATAGGGCGGTAGGCTCTAGCCTACTTGCGAGTCATGTTCTCCTGGTACATTCACTGTAGGATCGGTAACACTAAGACAACTTCACGACTGTTATCTTTGATGGAGTAGTCAGAGTCATTGTCAACTGTCGATTTTGTGGTGACAACACTTGGTATATCAACATTTCGCTCGGTATGTTTGAATAAAGAAAACACATTATTCCAATATAGGGCGGTAGTCTCTAGCCTACTTGCGAGTCATGTTTTCCTGGTACATTCACTATAGGATCGGTAATACTAAGACAACTTCACGACTGTTATCTTTTATGGAGTAGTCAGAGTCATTGTCAACTGTCGATTTTGTGGTGACAACACTTGGTATGTCAACATTTCGCTCGGTATGTTTGAATAAAGAAAACACATTACTCCAATATAGGGCGGTAGTCTCTAGCCTACTTGCGAGTCATGTTCTCCTGGTATATTCACTGTAGGATCGGTAATACTAACATAACTTCACGACTGTTATCCTTGATGGAGTAGACAGAGTGATTGTCAACTGTCGATATTGTGGTGACACCACATGGCATGTCCACTTTCGCTCGGTATGTTTGAATAAAAGGCGACAGAGAGCTAGCCTACGCCATCCGTCATTCTCGTGAACGAATGCTGGTTATAGGAAGTGGTCTGCTCTTATCACTTATAACAAATTATTTACTCTTATTTAGTTACGCAACTATTATTTAATATCAACACGCAATTTCGTTTCAATATTACTACGACTGATTTAATCTTATTGTGTTTTTATATTTGAGCCTAAATAAATTAGTGCTGGTTGGTAGTTTGTATTCACACGTTTCGACTTGTAAAATGTGAACAAGGATTGTTTAAAAGAGCAACACACAAGTTTCTTGCTTATTCTTCTCGTGATGAGACAGCTTTCTGAATAAGCGGTAGATAAAAAAAAATATTGACTATTCAAAAGTGCTTAAATTAAGTTTCTTTGAATAAATTATTTTCTGTTCTATTCTATTCTAATAAGATCGAATATTTCTTCTGATGAGATATTCTGAATGAGCTGTAGATTTTTTTTTCTAAACATGGAAAACTAACACAGTGCCATCTAGTCCTACAGTAAGCAGAGCTTGTGTTATAGGTACTAGACAACTGATATTAAATACTTAAATAAATTATTTCTGTAAATACAACATACATATTATACATAGAAAACACCCAGACCGATGCAAACAATCATACTTATGAATCATCATCATCATCATGGCAGCCCTGCTGGTCATAGGCCTCCCCCAAAGATCTCCACGACGATCTGTCCTGCGCTGCAGGACGCGCTGTCCTT